TCGGTATAATTGTTGCTGTGATTTTTAATTTAGGAAAATGCCATCTTTTTTCAAACTGTAAATCCGAAAATGCCATTAGTTAAATCAAGGAAAATAAATTTGGAAAAAAATTAACATAAAAAAATGCAATCAAATAATTAAAAAGTAAAACAGAACCGAGGCAATTTATATTTGTTTTCCACTTTATTATAAAAAAATTTATTCAATCTAAAAAATTATTTGATATGAATTATTGGTTTTTGTTTGTATTCCATTTTATTATAAAAAGATTAATTGAATGAAAAAAACTATTTCATATGAATTATTTGTTTTTGTCATGTGCTGATTTATGAATTTTTTGTTTTAGTTGTTAGTTTGGATGTTCTGTACATTGTTGAAGGTTGCTAATATTCCTTACAATTCTAAATGCCATCTTTTTTCAAACTGTAAATCCGAAAATACCATTAGTTAAATCAAGGAAAATAAATTTGGAAAAAATTAACATAAAAAAATGCAATCAAATAATTAAAAAGTAAAACAGAACCTGGACAATTTATATTTGTTTTCCACTTTATTATAAAAAAATTTATTCAATCTAAAAAATTATTTGATATGAATTATTGGTTTTTATTTGTATTCCATTTTATTATAAAAAGATTAATTGAATGAAAAAACTATTTCATATGAATTATTTGTTTTTGTCATGTGCTGATTTATGAATTTTTTGTTTTAGTTGTTAGTTTGAATGTTCTGTACATTGTTGAAGGTTGCTAATATTCCTTACAATTCTATATGGTTTAAATTTTTCTTGCAGAAAATGAATATAGGAAATAAAGTTTATCTAAATAACATTGATCAGATAGATGAAAAAATCACATATCAAGGTTCGGGTGCTTAAAATTTGGAACTTCATCAAAAATAATAAAGTTTGTTCAATTGAAATGATCCTGATGGACGAGGAGGTTTGTTATATTTCATATATTTTTTATTCATCATTCAATATTACATATGTTTCAACAAAATAATGATTTTTAATTTTTTTTTAAATAGGGTACACAATACCATGCTCGTGTTTTCAATCAGAATTTCTCCAGATTTCATCATCTTTTAAAGGAAGATGAAAGTTATATAGTTATAAAACCCAATATGGCTGTCGTTACTAATGGTTTTAGTTATACAGGTCATAAACAAACCTTAACTTTAGATTCGAAAATCATCCTAAAAAAATGTGATGATTTCTCGGGTCCGGTCAATGGATTCATGTTTGTTGACTTTAATTCTATCATAGAACAAACATGTCTAAGAGACACATTCTTTGGTTAGTTATAAAATTTTAATCAAATCATTTTTTATCAGTTGTGTTATTGGTTATACATTTTATTATTTAAATATTACGATTTTAATGCAATAGTTTATCTTGTGTTATCTCTTGTGTAAATGTTATTGGACAGATCGTGTCATTTAGGCCTCTTGAAACTTCAAATCCAGTAGCATCGAAGCATTATATAAAACTCACTCTTAGCAACCTAGAGTGAGATTATATTTTATTATTTATTTATTATATTTAATTACTCACAAATTAATATTAACATACGATTTTTTTGTTTATTTAGTTCTGTATATCTGAAGGTTACTATTTTTGGAAGTCAAGCATATCAAATGTCAGAATACCTAAAAAATAACCCGACGGTTAATTGTGTTTTTATCGTCGTTCCTAATTAAATACTTCCCATTTACTTTGTAATTAAATACTTACAAATAAAAAAAGAGTTCTGAAAAATCTTCATTCCTAATTAAATACTTCCCATTTACTTTGTAATTAAATACTTACAAATAAAAAAAATTATTGAAAAATTCAATATTACAATTTATAAGTTATCAGAATTATTGAAATAATATTTAATTAAATAATTAATTTTTAAATTCAATTCAAAAACAGCACCCGTGAGTTCCACGGGTTTTAACCTAGTTAAGTTATATATATATATATATATATATATATATATATATATATATATATATATATATATATATATATATATATATATATATATATATGGGAAAAGTGAATATACCCTTAAGGGTATATAAACTTAGGTACCCAAACTCACCATACTACATAGTTTTATATCATATAATACATTCTAATTGTACAATGTTCATGTAATTTAACTTCTAACTTGATTTACTTCCATGATTTTTATAAATTACACATTTAACTTTCTCTTAAATAATTTTCATTTTGAACGACAATATATAAACCCTAGTAGGTGTTCGACAAAAAGATGTAATAAAAGAGAAAGATAATAGTGAAAATTTGAAAATATTGAAAGTAAATAACGTTGGGGGTTGAAGTTTAAGAACATTATAATGAATATATCAAACAAAACGACGTATTATGATGTGTTTGGGTACCTAAGCTTATATACCCCTAAGGGTATATTCACTTTTCCTATATATATATATATATATATATATATATATATATATATATATATATATATATATATATATATATATATATATATATATATATATATATATATATGGGAAAAGTGAATATACCCTTAGGGGTATATAAGCTTAGGTACCTAAACTCACCATACTACATCGTTTTGTATCATATATAGACATTGTAATTGTTCAATGCTCTTATAATTCAACTTCTAACTTTAATTACTTCAAAGATTTTTATAAATTTCATACTTATCTTCCTCTTACATAATTGTCATTTTCAACAATAATATATATAGCCTACTAAGTGTTCGATAAAAAGATGTGATGTAACAAGAAGATAATAGTGAAATTTAAAAATATTATATATAAATTAAGTTAAGGATTAAAGTTTAACAATATTATAATGAATATATCAAACAAAATGACGTATTATTATGAGTTTGGGTACCTAAGCGTATATACCCTTAAGGGTATATTCACTTTTCCCTATATATATATATATATATATATATATATATATATATATATATAGTAGGTGTGAAACACGTATATTACACAAGTTTATTAAAAGAAAGTTTTGGTAACCACAAAGACCATGTTCATAAAAAAAAAAAAGTAACGATTGAGTTTGTGACCTTTTGGTAAACCGTATGGACAATTTATATAATATGGTCTTAATTAATCTATACTAATAAAATTAATTAATATGAATTCACAAATGGAATGTACTATCTATATTAATATACATATACATTAATTAATATACTAATAGAAAGAGAAATTCAAAATAGAAAGTTATTATATACATTAATTAACATATTTATAAAATTAATTAATATGAGGTCACATTTAATGGGTGAGATTTGAATAATTCAAAAAAATTCTAAAATACTGACAAGTGTCAAAATGAAGAAGAATATGACATGTAGCAAAATCATTCTTATTTATTAGGGTATATATATATATATATATATATATATATATATATATATATATATATATAAGTTATTCTATTCAAAGTAATTATTATGTTATTGTATGCATAAATGTGGACCAATCATTTTACTTATTTTAAGAAAATGATTAATACATATTATTGAATTAAATATAATTGAAAAATACCATCCAATTTAACTAGAAGAGTGTTTTAGTCAATTAACATATATTTAATAAAGGAAATTTGTATATTTTAAGGGATCATAGATTCTATTAATTTTAAAAATCCGATTTTTACTAATTAAAAGGTTTTTAATTCGGACATTCTAACAGAATATGATTGAGTATATTCAAAAATAAAAATATTTTATACAATAAAATAATAAAAATATTCTTGAACATATTTCTTGATCATAACTTTAAATTTTTTTGTAGAATAACAAGTTCTCGAACCATCAATTAAAGAATTAAAACAAAAATTACATTAATTATTATAGAATACATGTAACAATTGTTAAGAATTATATTTATTATTAAAGAATAAAAACTAAAATGCTTTTAAATCGGGGAAAAAAACATCAAAATCTAACAAATACATTAATTTATTCTAAAAGAATAATGTTGCTAAGAAACATTTTTAATTTTGTTGTGCGTTCTTCAAGCATCAACTTCTTCAAGTATCAACTTCTGTGAAAACAAATTCAATTGTAGTTTAGAATCCACTAACGCATTAGCAAATGATAAATAAAAAACTATATTCCTTTGGAAAAATATGCGGACTTGTTAGCTGCACCAAAACGAATAACCAAAAATTGTAGAATATGTATAATCAATGAGAAAAAAATCAATATTCCATTCCAACATAATTAGAATTCGTGTTTCCATTCCGATAGAATTTGAATTCATGATTCTATTATGATAGAATTGGAATGGTATAAAATACACAAACCGATTCAATGCTTCTAGAACATCAGAAGGGGCGAGATTAAGATCATCAAGAACTCATGTCACCTTTGATGTGTATATCATTTTACCAGTTCCCCCCATCAATTTACATCAAGAAAATAGGATTCGACTTATAAAAAAAGGAATACGAATTGGATTCAATGGGTTTTGACTGTGTACCAAGAGTACATAAGTAAGAATAAAGCACCATACCCACAACAACAATTAGGATTCCCAAAATGTCACTACTAGAAAACAGCCCTTTAATGACGTGCAAACAATGACACACGCTGATAGAGGACACACATTTGTGCGTGTGGTAAAAAATAATGTCAGTTTTCTAAAATTTGAAGGATAGAGGGCACATATTTTTGCGCGCCCTAAAGTTAATGTCCAACAAAAAAACACGGAGGGCACCAATAATAAAGAGCATGTCGTGTAACTGTGTCGTTTTATATATTTTTTTTTTAGGAAGACGCATTCTCTACCGATGGGGGGAAATGAAATCCCAAAAAATTAAACACCCCGCCCGATCATCTCCGTCTTCTCCTTCTAAAATCCTCTCCCAAAAAACCCTAATAATCTTTTAAGTAGTTCCTCTCTCTCTCTCTCTCTCTCTCTCTCTCTCTTTTGGAATCAGATTCTTGAAAGATTAAAACCCTAATCGTAGCCCTAACTACGACATGTCTTACCAACCGGGATCTTCAAATCAAAACGAAAGCGACAACCACCATGAAAAATGTTGGATATACAACCCTTACCAAGATCTTAGAGTCCCCATACAAACCCTGTACAAACTTCCCACATCTCTTGAATACCTCTTTCAAGAGGAATCCATCGCTCAACGGCGTTTACGGAGAGAAAACCAAACATACTACTGTTGGGTTTTGAGCATTTTAACACTCCTAAGTGTACATGCAACCCTAAATACCTTGGATCTATGTTTTCTCTATTATACATGCAAATAAGAACATCCAAGGTATTATCCTAATCTAGCATACAAAACAATGAGTGTAACAAGATAGAATACATACCTCTTTGATGTAGAAAGTCTTCATGAAGCTTGAGTGCCTAGCCCCAATAGTGTGGAAGCCTCAAATGGAATCACAATCATCAAAACACTTAGAATAACTTGAGAGAGTTCTACACTTCATGAAATCGGCTAGCCCTCTTCTTCACTTTCTAATGTGATTCTAGTGGCCGATTTTTGTCAAGAATAAGATCTTTGTATAGTGTTACAATTAGGGTAAATCCTTAATTGTCATGGATTTCCATTTCCTTGGATCCATGGGTTCAAATACACCATGGAGCATCCATGGACCATCCTATGGGTTTTAGCCCAACTTGATTATCCATGGAGCATTATCCCACTATATAAGTATGGATGATTTACACAATCAACCCATATATTTAATTAGTCTTCTTTTGATCACTTAATTAATCCTAGATTAATTCTTGATCAATACTAATTAAATAATCTTATTATTGTTATTATTAATATACTAGAACTTATAATATATTAATAACCATAAGTGTCTTATTTCTCTCATTATAGTCTATCCAAGTGCATGATGGTATGCAACCCAAATGGACCATGTCGGGTCGGGTCAAGTCTTACCAATTATAGTTATGGACTTAGACATTAATCCAACAACTACATCGGCATCGGTTACCTCAACGGTGCAATAGTTGGCGCCGGGAAGGGTTTAGTAGAGGGCGTGAAGGCTTCTGAGGCTGGAGGCACCATGAAACTTAGGGTTAATCATATCTTAAATGCTTTTAGACATGCAGATCGGACGATCAGCAACCGTGCAGGTGTAATCAGACTGTTGTACACTGGTATGGAGAGCAGGATGGTTAAGGCTAGGGATGCAGATAATATTATTAACAGCGTGGTGGCTGGATTAGCGACTGGAGCGCTTTACAAGGTGGCGTCCATTGCCAGATCTATTGGCGGAATAGCGGTGGGATTAGCCATGCAAAGGAAGCAAATTTTGAAGAGATACGTACCAATCTAAGCTCGATCTGTATTCAATTTCATCTTTATGTTTTTCTACATGGGTGGAATAGCGGTGGGATTAGCCATGTCTGTTTACCCTTTTGATCTTTACGTTTTTCTACATTTTGGTATATTGTGCTAATTTTCCTTCGCTCCTTTTTGGGAACAGATGGTGTATGTTTTGCTTATATACAACAAGAAAGAGAAATATAAATGACTTGAAGCATCAGGTATCTTTTCTTACAAATTAATATTATCTGTATAACCAAATCTTTGCTAGCTATTATGTTAATGTTCATTTTATGTAACGTCCGCAAATCCGGGCTAGTCAAATTAGAGACAATAGGAGTCGAAAACGAATTTTCGACAAAAGATTATTTTGAATAAATAATCTTAACCAACTTGTAGTATATGTCACGAGGTTTCCGTGCATATAAAGAACGCCGAAATCCGAGTTATAACGAAGAAGTTATGACCCGTTGAAGTTTCGCAACAGAACCGGTACGATACCGGAAAGCGTAAATAGTGAATTTACGATAGATCGAGATTTAGCCTTAGCGATCTAAATGAAAGTCGTAGAATATGTTAAACTAAGAACATCAATAAAAAGAACGCCCAAATCTGACTTCGTATGAAGAAGTTATGATTTTTCGAAGTTTCGGACTAGCAGTATACAACCCGAAATTCGAATATTAGATCGAGCGGGTTTTATCCGACACGACCTGAACGAGAACCGAAGATCTTGTTGAGAGTAGTGTAACGAGAAAAATATGGGCAAAAACGGATATCGGATGAAGAAGTTATGAGGATTTAACGGATCAATCATGTCCCGGCCCGTTAATAATATAAAATTTAAAATCGAGCCAAAATTAGTCAACGGAGTCTAAACGAAAGTTGTAGAGTACGTTCCCACCTTCACGTGGATATAAAGAACGTCGAAAACGGAGCTCATATGCGAAAGTTACGAATTTTTAAAGTTGAAGCATGAAAATGCGAAATCTGTGCGAGGGGGGTGACGTGGCGCGATCAGAGCCGTCGCTTGCGGCCCACGGTCTCGCTCCGGATGAAGGATGCGACACCTCGCCCTACGCCGCGCGTACGAAGCAAACGCCCCGCGTCGCTTCGCCCTACGCCCCGCGTCGCTTCGCTCTACGCCCCGCGCCTTATCCGTTCGGTGACTGCGAGACAGATGGCTTCGGCTGGCATCCACACCCGAGGAGTACGCCCAGCGTACCCTCGGTACGCCCCGCGTAGAGGCAGCCTTCGGCCCCTATAAATACATGCGAGTTGCTCCGGATTTTTCACACCATTTCTCATTCTCTCTCTAAAATCTTTCTCTCTCTAAGGTTCCAAACCCTCCCTAAGGTCTAGGTGAACCCCTAGCACCCTAAGGAAGCCCTGAGGCTCCCGGAGTCCCGAGAAAAAGGAGTTTTTCGGTTTCGAAACGCTGCTCCAATTAAGTTCCGGTTTTCGATAAAATTCGCTGTAAGTGTGCTACGCTTACGCAATTTTTAATATAGCTTTCAAATAATTATAGGAATGTTATTAGGTCCTTAAAATAATTATTTGGGCTATTATTATGAGTTATATTGAGCATTATTAACGCTTAATAATAGTCAAACTGATTAATGAGTCGCGGTTATCGTTAAACTAAACCCTAGTTGTATCGGTACTAGGTTTTATCGAAGGAACATCGTTGTGAGAGTATCGAAGCGCTGTCCGAGTGCTGAGTCACCACCTAATCAGGTGAGTGCATGGTCCCTTTCATCTTACACATAGATATGAAGTATCTTTATATAAACTACGTGCTATGTGTGCATATTATCTGAATACTTGCTGTCTATGCTGGATGAACGTTTTATACATGTTTTAAAGGATTTAAACTGTATACGTATTTTATATATACGAATATGTTGGGTATGATGATGGGTAGATGAATGATGAGAGATAGGAGATGACGTGAGTATACATTGGTAGCTATAGACTTAGTGCCTATGGGACAAACACCGGTAGCTATGGACTTAGTACCTGTTAGACGTTGGTAGCTATGGATTTAGTACCTGTTGGTAGCTATGGACTTAGTACCTATTAGTTAGACACTGGTAGCTATGGACTTAGTACCTGTAGGAATTGGTAGCTATGGACTTAGTACCAGTTGAGCGTTGGTAGCTATGGATTTAGTACCCGATGAGTAAGATATAGCAGCTATGGAATTAGTGCTTTACGAACGAACATTGGCAGCTATGGATTTAGTGTCAGTCCTAGAACCCTGGAAGTAAGGGACTTCGGAATAAACGAATGAATAATAGATGACTCTTAGGAGTAAAGAAGATAACGGGAATGGGTAATGGGGTTAATTGTTTGATGATTAAACATAACAATTATATTATTGTGGGTTGAAAACCCTATGTACTCACCAGGTTTCCCAACCTGACCCACTCAGTTTATGTATATCACAGGTGACGAAGTGAAGTGACTTTACACTGAGAGATTTAAAGAGCTATAGATCACTAGTGTAAATCATTGTAAGTTCTGTTTATGCTTATGTTTCGGTATTAACGATGACATCCCAAACGTTTTAAGATGAATAAAAAATACGTTTCTTCGAAAATGTTTTAATAACGTATTTATCATGTTTTTCTGGGAACAAATTCCGCAACCTTTTTATAAAATGAAGTACTCTGATTTTCATAAAGCATAAACAAAAATCGGTCTTTTCTGGCCGTGATTTTGGGGATGTCACATTTTATTTCAAGAAAAACTTTGACATGTATGATCAAGTCTTGTCATTTTGACCTACTGATCACATACGTGTTTGACTTTTAAATGACTTGAAGCATCAGGAGTCCCTTATAGTGTTGCTGAATTAGGATTTGATTCTTGATTCAACTCTCCAAGGTTATTGTCTTCTATTTGTACTCTTCTTGTTGTTCTTATATTGTTGCTTAATGTTGTAGATTTATTTTTAGTTTGTGTTTAACTGTTACCATTATAGTGTTGCTGAAGAGATTTTTTGTGTTGGTTTTCACATTATCCTTGTTCTTGGTTGTCGCTCAAGAGAATTTTAAGAGGTAATTCAATAAATCTTATTTAACTTCATGATTTTTATATTTGTGATTTACACATTTAAGATTCGAATTTCTGATTTTTTATATTTCTTTCTTTCTTATTCCGATTTTATATATTTCAGTTTAATATGTTTTGGCTTGGTTGATAAAGTGCAGGAAATCTACAAATCACATTGGAAAAAGAAATTTACAATAAGAGGTGTTTGTCTTTCCTTTCTATGATATGCCTTTTGTAGTTAAAAACTATGAATCCTGATATGAAAAATACAAGAATTTTATGTATATTACAGGATGAAAAACTAGAAATTTTTGTTTTATATTATTTTATATTCTATAAGTCTTTTGGCCTATTTTTCCTGATCTGCACAGGGCCCTCTAAATCTCGGGGCCAACACTGATGGGTATTAATGGGATTTCTCTTGTTAAAATTTCCAGGACTTTGTATCTTTGAAAACCTTCTTGAAGTTGATTTTCTTGTAAGGATTATCTGCTTATACGATCAAAAGATTTTATCTCTTGGTGATTTCAATCGTTGGTGTTAACATGTCATCGTCACCTCCTTCTGGTTCTCTCCCCACATTCCTTCCTGTAATCAAGTTTAAGTGGCATGCATTAGTAAGTTTTTGGTCTTTCATTGCTGCTTTGATCTATATTTAATGATATAATTTCCATAGATGCCCTTCATTTTGGAAATATAAACAACAAGGAGATATATGCATCTGAAATCTTGAATGATTGAAGCCCCTGTATTAATGTATGTTGAATGCTAGAATCTTAATCTCTTAGAATATTGATCTTAAACCTCTAGAATCTTGAATCCTCAAACTTGATTCCTTTCATGAGTTCATTAATTGATTCCATCTTTCCTATACATGAATCTGATAAGTATTTGCTATTGGAATCAAGCTTTTGTTGTTTGTTCTCATGGTTTTGGAGAATATTGGGTTCAAATCCAATGTGATCATCATCAATCTCTCCTTGAATCAAACTTTTCGAGTCTCTTTCCTTGAGAATTGCAATGTCCTGAGGGCTAATTGACAAAAAAAATCATTGCTGAAATCATCTGATTCCAGATGGGAATCAAAAAATTCTGATTTGGTGTTCTTAAGAATAAAGAACTCCTTAATAGAACACTCATACCCACGTGCTCTACCACCCTCCATGCAAGTTAATACTCTCACTTATGATCCTTATGATCACACACGCAAAGATCAAAAAAAGAACTGCACAAGATCATCAAGAAATTGATTTTTTTTTATCTATTTAACTAATAGACTCAATCAAAATGAAACATCAAAGAAAGCATAAGAAACCTACCACTGAAATTCAATCACAGTAGCCTCGAAGTTTTGGTTCCTTCCCTATCAAATGAAAACAACAAGACACTAATTTTTCCTTCTTCATTTCATGAGATTCAAATGAGTTTAAGTAACTCTTTCAGTTACTTTCTGTTCAGTCCCCGTTTTCAGTTTTCACTACAAGTTGGATATAGAATAACCAAAGTCATAATTGTTCTAATTTTCATGAAAAAAAAATCCTCCAGCCAATTAAGTTTCTCAGTTTCTCCAGCTCCAAAACTCCATTTTCACCCATAATTGTTCTAATTTTCTCTTTTATTTCTTTGACTCCATTAAAACGTGAAGAGCCTACATCAGATTTCTTAGAGTTTCTTTATCATATTTACATATATGTATGTTTTCGTCATCTTGCAGTTGTGCTGTTTTGCTCAAGGGAGCGTTTGGGCTTTGTTACTTTTTCACTATTTATCTTTTGTTTTATTTTTGGGTTGTCTTTTCTTTTCACTATGTTTTTCATTTTCCAAATCTTTGTGATCCCTTTATAAAACTGTAAATGTAGGCTTTGCCTTGCTCAATGGTCAGATCATGGAGAGAGAACCGGTGGCTTTTATGCTTGCACCATTATGAATCTGCAAAGCAAGAAGGAGCTGTAA